GAGGCAAAATAGAAGGTAATAAGTTAGAGAATGTTTATCACATTTAAAGATTTTGCCTTTTAATTTTAGTTCCATTTTTAATGCATTGGCGGTAAACTAAGTGTCCCACGGCAGCCAGGCTGTGTCTCTGCCACAGCAGTATGTCCCGCCCTCCGTTATCTGTGAGTGAGGGTCACGGAGGCGGCCTTCCTGTCGGGGAGCTTACAGTCTGGTAGGGGCAGGTCACCTGCTGAAAAGAACTCCAGGCTGCCGAGCGGGACAGAGGGAACTCGGGCTCTGCCGAGGCGGAGCTGGACAGCCTGCAGACAAGGAGCGTGCAGGTGGCGGCACGGCCCTGTGTTCCCAGCCGGGCTGGCAGCGCTGTGCGTGTGTGGTGTGTTTCGAGCCCTCGTGCGTGTGGACACTGGCAGGGACTCACCTTGTCTCCCCTAGGGAATGGTTTTTCTTGCTCTCCCACGAAGTCCTGAACCCCATGTACTGCTTGTTCGAGTACGCGGGCAAGAACAACTACTGCCTGCAGATCAACCCCGCGTCCACCATCAACCCGGACCATCTCTCCTACTTCTGCTTCATCGGCCGCTTCATCGCCATGGTGAGCCTGCGCCGGACTCAGTCGCTGAAACGCTACTTCAGAGGCAGCAAATGGCACGTGCTGTCCTTGGTTGTGTCTGCTCATCCGAGCACGACTTGTATTATGAACTTCGGGGCAGAGGGAGCCGCAGGGCAGGGCTGCGGAGTGCAGTTCTGACCCCCGTGGCCTGGCTGGTGGCCTGGCTGGCACCCAGCGGCGTGGGTGTGGTGGGAGCCTATGGTTGGGGAGGTGGGGCACCAGGCGAAGTGGGCTGTGCGGGGCAGGGAGGCCGAGTGGCCTGTGGGTGGGGGGGAGGGCATCGAGTGAGGCTCATGTGTCCCCTTGCAGTCGGCTTCCTAAGGGGACAGGGTCCTGGCAAGAGCAAGCCTGGGAGCTGGGGCATCAGATGCGGGTTGGTTTGCTGGGTGTCAGACACCGGGGGACCTCCAGGGGTGAACGGGTAGCGGCAGGCCGATGGCAGGGAGGGGCAGGAGGGGAGGCTGCATGCACATCCAGGAAGCAGGTGTGGGCCCATGGAAGCCCGAGGACCTGTGTCAGGGAGACGAGCTGAGAAGGAGCCAGGAAAGCGCCAAGGAGGGGGGGCCAAGTCCAGTAGGACTG